AGAACCTTGGCGAATGTTCGAGAATAATCGAGAAATAACATGATATCTCCTTTGTATCACACCATGATTCATCATAAGATCATATTTCATGCAAGTCCCAACAGGACGGCTCTCCCATTACTCGAATCGATGAGTCATCGATGTGGCGCCAATATCCAATTTCTTACAAGTTCTAACCGGCCATTATGGTATCATGTAATTCCCAACAGGACAAAGGGGGAACCCCCACCGCGATAACGTCATCCTTTCTCGAATGTACAAGTCTCGGCAGGACTTAGGGGAAACTCCCACCTCGCACATTAATGATTTATCAGTCTGAGTGACTCATCGATGTCATTCATCTTGAAAATATTCAATCATTGTTTTCACATATTTGCACCTGTTTGCATATGTTTGTAAATGTTTGCAAATGTTTGCAGAATGTTTGCCAGTGTTTGCAAATGTTTGCAGAATGTTTGAAAATGTTATCAAATATTTGCAAATGTTTCCAAATGTTTACAAAATGTTTGCAAATATTGTCAAATGTTTGCAGAGTGTTTACAGAATGTTTGCAAATGTTTGCAGAATGTTTGCAAATGTTGTCAAATGTTGCCAAATGTTTGTAAAATGTTGTCAACTGTTTGCAAAATGTTTCCCAATGTTTTCAAAAGTTTGCAAAATGTTCGCAGAATGTTTGCAAATTATGTCAAATGTTTGGAAAATATTTGCAGCATGTGTGCAAATGTTGTCAAATGTTTGCAAAATGTCAAGTGTTTGAAAAATGTTTGGAAATGTTGTTAAATATTTGCACATGTTTAGGGCTTACGGTGAGTTCTCCCACCGTGCAAGTCAATGACTCATCGATGACGTCATTCATCTCGAAATCTCCGCGATTTTGGCGGCAATATCCAATGTCATCCATGTAGCCACAGGTTTTCATATTGCATACAAATCCCACCAAGACGGTTCCCCCACCACGCGAGTCGATGAGTCATCCTTCTCGCACGTTCCGTGACGGTGGTGCCAATATTCGATTTCATGCAAGTTTCAATATGTCATCATACAAGTCCCAACGTGTCTTAGAGGGATTCCCCCACCACGCGAGCCGATGACGTCATCCTTCTCGAACCACGCGAGTCGATGAGTCATCCATCTAGAAAATTCCGCGACAGCGGTGCCGCCACTAGTATCATATTCCATACAAGTCCCAACAGGAGTCAGGAAGTACCCCCACCACGCCCCCAAGTTCATGAGTCATCGATGACGTCATCCGTGTAGAAAATTCCGCGACGGTGGCGCCGCCTGGTGGCGGCGAGAAGCTTTGATCCAGAACCCGCCTAGCCAAACTACTGTCATGAGTAGGACTGCCAATTTTGTTTTATTTTCCGCCAGCAGATCGGATTCGAAAAACTACAGGCGGGTTCGGATCAAGTTCTGATCAGGTAGACATGATCAGATGATGCCTGATGAGAACCTGACTAAGTTCTGATCCAGCAGATCGGATCCGAAAAACTACAGGCGGATTCGAATCAAGTTCTGACCAGGTAGGCACGATCTCACCCTGAGGTCGGCTGCCTGACCCCAATTTGATCAAATTCGGATTTGATGTCTTTGATCGGAATTTGAACGGGGTCAATTGAAGAGAATATGATCAGATTCAGATCCGGTCCACCTGACATTAATTTTAATAAGTTTTTCAGATAATTTAATTAACTATTATTATACTATTCAGATTAAGTTTTATCAACCATTATCAATAATTATTTTCAATCTTTAAAAAGGATCATTATACTATAATTAAAATAAATGAAATTAATTTAATTTAATGAATTTAATTTAATTAATCAATTTAATTAACAGCCAGCCTTTGTTAAACGTATAGAAGTGAGGGATGATGATGTCGTAAATACGTATTAGAGGAGTATCAAATTTACACGCAAATGATCTTGAGAAAAAAAATCACCAAATGTCTATTTATCTATTAGAGTTATTGTTATCATCATTATTATTATTCATTAATGAAATAAATAAAAATTTAATTGAACATATTTTATCTCTGAGAATACACACGCACATCCGCGAGATCAGGAATAATCGTAAATTCAACGAATACCACGTTACAAATCATACAGGCAATGTACAATTTACTCAATAGTAATAGCGTGATAGCGTAGTGGTTACGGCATAGGATTAGCAATCATAGGGTCCCCGGTTCGATCCCCAGCATCGGTAAAAAAATAATAAGCTTTTTCAGAGTTAATAACTGTAGAGATTCATTAAGAAAGGCGGTTTACGGTGAAAGAATTGAATTATCTTTTGTTTTGGATTAGTTATTATTGATAATTGTGATTGACACAGACAGACAGGTCATCCGGTTTTCATACAATTGACTTGATCAAGTTCGGATCCATTCGTCCTGATCAAATCCGGATTGGTCAGAGGCGTAACATGTCTGATCAAGACCGGATCCGTCAACTTGATCAATACCTGATCAGTGGTCAGGTCTAACCTGATCCAAACTTGATCAATACCTGACCGGAATTTTCACTCGAGTAGCCAGTTATGCATGTAATTGGCACGTATGAAAAAATTCAATAGAAAAACCTAGTGCTTTCTCTAAGAAATTCTATTAACTTTCTATTCGAACTCGATAAGAATTCTGTAGCAATTTTGTTGAACTTCTATTAAAGATTTCTTTTCGTTTTTTGCGGATATTCGATGTCACATGAGAGTCATATGGCAGTCTTATGAGGGTCATATGGGAGTTAAATGAGGGTCATATAAGGGTAACATAGGGATCACATGATGGTCATACGAGGGACATATGGGGGTCATATGTGGTTCATGTCGGGTTTTAAAGAGGTTGTATACGAGTTATATAGAGGTTTTATCGAGGGGTTGCCAAGTTTATAGGCGGAGTTTCATGTGGGTTTTCTGAAAACTCTTGTATGGTTATTATAGTGGTCGAGAGAGGGTCGAAAGGAGGGGCTTTGTAAAGGCCTTATGGGAGTCTCCGAAAAGCTTTGCATTGATCTTGAAAAGATTTGAGAACGTCGAGTAGGGATCAGAAGTAGGTCTTACAGGGATCTCCTGGAGGCTTTCTATTAACCTTATGAGAGTACGGAGATTATAAAGGGTTTTCATGTTTTTATTTGGTTCATTATATTTGGTTTGGGCATTATGAAAGTCGCAGGGAGGTCTCCCGAAGTTTACAGGACTCTTCTGAAGACTTTGAATGATATTCTTAGGAAAATGGAGATTTTGTGGAGGCGATTATAAAGTATTATGAGAATTTTAAGAGCCTTGGTGGGATTCTATTAGGGTATTGTGACGGTTAAATAGGATCAAATAAAGGTCTTTTGGGGACGTCCTGAAACTTTTGGATTGATGTTATGAAGGTCATAGGAAGGTCTTATAGGGATATTAATGGATTTGTCGAGTTTCTTATGGAAATCAATGGCACTACATGCAGGTCTCCTAATGGCGAGGAAGGAGGATAGTTCCATGGCGGGTCCATGACCGTCTTCCATGATCAAAAATTACTAAGGGGGTAGAGAGTGAAGGTTACTTGGGAGAGGGGATGTTCAGCGAAAGAGTTGAGTGGAATAATCACAATGGTCTACCAAGAGAGTTGAATAGAATAACCATAAGGGTCAAACGAAAGACATATAAGTCGAGTCATCCCAAGGATCCAATGAGAGAGCTGAGTGGAGTAAACGCAAGGGTCAAGCCAGTGAAATAATTGGAGAGGTCTCAAGTGTCAAGTTAGAAATAGTGGAGAGTTCTACTAGGGTCAAATGCGAATAATGAGTAGAATCATAAGAATAGTAAATAGGAACACAAAGTTAAATAGGAGAAATGAGTTGAGTAATAGCAAAGATCAGTCGGAAGAGGCGAGCATGCATAGATCGTGGAAATTGAACAAGAGAATGAATGAAGTGATCACAAATGTCAAATAAGAGAAACGAGTGAGTAGGTCATACCTGAGATGAATGCTGTTATCACAAGAATTAAACGAACGAGACGATGCAGGAGGTCACACGATTCAAACCACAAAGAGAATTAAGCAGACCATAAGAATCGAACGGTAGTTATTTCAAAATTTTTATATCGCCAGAAGTCGATTTGGATTTTCATAACATGGAGAAATAAAGGAAATCTTATAGGAAATTCTATAGAAAATCGTATGGTGAATCCACGTACCGTGTACAGTTTCATACTGACCATGCTGTAGCTTTGTAGTTTTTTTTATTATCGAATAGTATTTTCTAATAATTCATTTCGAAATATTTCACAATAATTCAAAATGAAAATGATCAGAGGCGAATAAATTTGAATAATACAATCATTATCAAACATTCGGCAATCAAATGTTAAGTTCAGTTTGAATTGAGAGTCGGATGTTCAGCTATATAAATTAAATAGTACATTACATGCCCGAGCCTTGGAAAACAGATCACCGTCCCCCACGTGCAAGATTGCCTTCCGAGCCGAAGGCGACGATGGCCAGCACGTGGGGGAGGGTGATATGTTTTCCATGGCGAGGTGTGTATATTAATTTTCGCGTCGAGGGACCTGAAAAGAAATTGTCGAATAACTTCTTGAATATCCCGAATTAGTAAAGTTGATACATTGTAAACTGACCTAAAAATTACCATAAAACCGATAGCATTATTGACAAAACAGATAATTTCATAGTTGCACAAATGTCAGTGATAATAAAAGAAATGAGTTCGTTGACTAGCCTATCTCTCTCAGATAATTAGAAACAATTCATTCCATTCGTAAACATTAGGGTATTTAAAATCCAGGACACGTGTCCGTTCATTTTTCTTTGTTATTTTAGTTACGAGTTCACGATGTCATGACCCTCAAAAATTGGGCAATCATTGGATAAAGGGAGAAAACAAATACTGACTAATATGAATATTACATCAACGGATATCAATTGCAGCAGCACAACATCCCGATAATGAGGCGGAGACTTTTTACAGTAAATTTGAAGAGAGTGTAGCTGAATGGTGGGGGATCCAGTCGACCCTGGCTCTGTCTCTTTTATCGCCAGTCTTACTTAATCGTCACTCGTGTCTTCAACTCAACGGAATTGAATTCGTAGAGACCCGAGTCAGGATTTTCGATTTATTCTTGTTGTTCATTGCTTGTTATCCTAATATTGATGGGTAATAGATCAAAAATGTTTTCGATCCTACAAGTGTTTGTTTTAATTTTTATCTCTGGTATCCAAGAGTCATTGTCACGTAAGTAACTTCCGTATATAATTTTTTTTAATAAACAAGTTTTTCACGTTCCGATGAATTTTATTCTTTTATTGTAATCATCAATAATTAAAAATACCATGAAATCATTCTTGATAATGATGATTGCCACTTAACGTGAAGAATAATAAAAAAATTATCCTACAAATCATAGATGGACAATTAATTTCGATTCACAGAGTGGAATCCTGACGCTTGCAGGAATCCCAATGGAGTTATAGGGTCCTGTATCAACATCCGTCAGTGTCCAATACTTTTGAATATTCTTCAATCTCGACCCCTGGACCCTCAGAACGTTAGATTCTTGCAGGAGTCCAAGTGTGGATTCGAGGGGCGGGATCCAAAAGTCTGCTGTGTTGATCAGCAACAATCTCAGAGGCCGGATCCCAGCGAGAATAACAATAATAATAATAATAACAATGGAAATATTGCCTCACGTGCTGATCTTTTGCCTGAAGATTGTGGCCATGATCTCCAATTGAGAATTGTCGGAGGTGAACGAGCGGAAATTGATGAGTTCCCTTGGATGGTACTCCTCGAATATCAAAAATGTAAGAAAATGAATGGAAGAAAAAATTAAATTATAAACTCATGACAGGAAATGTCAAATTGTATCGAAACCATTTTTAATTGGGTGCTATAATTTCATATGGATTTTTTTTCATAATATCCTCGGGATAATATTTTCTTCAAAATAACATCAGAAGACATTCTGTCCCTTCCCCACACTTCAGTCTCGACCAACCCTTTGACTTCTCTGAATTAAATTTCGCCCTTAAATCCAAAAAAGAAAATTCCTCCCCTGGTCTTGACGGAATAAATTACCAGCTGATTAAAAAGACTTCCGATTAACTTACAACTAGTTTTACTAGACACGTTTAATGAAATGTTTGAAATAGGAGATTTTCCCCCGGATTGGAAACGCTCTTTCATTCACTTTGTTCCCAAATCCAACAATAGTGATGTAAGACCACTATTATTGGAGCACTAACCTCCTGTGTAGCCAAATTACTGGAGACCCTCATCAAAAATCGATTGCAATGGTGGTGTGAAACAAACAATGTTATTCCCAATTAACAAACCGGCTTTCGTCCAGGCCTCTCATGTACCGACAACCTCAGCAATTTGATTGAATGTAGAATTCAATTTAAAAAAAAACAAAGAAATTATAGCGACTTTTCTGGACATTCAAGGGGCCTTTGACAATGTAAACCCCGACATACTGATAGACAAAATGACTAAGCTTCAATGTCCCATTAATTCGCTCCGATTCATAAAATTCATCACACACGAAAGATTTATCCACGCTCACATACTTGGTGAAAATATTCTAACAGTTCGCAAAGGAATTCCCCAGGGTGGTGTATTATCCCCATTATTATACACCATTTACACTAGAGACATAATGAGAAATATAAATGATTCAATTAAATGTTCACTTTTTGCTGACGACATTGCGCTCTACTGCCCTTACAGTGGAGCAGAATCAGAAATTCAAACCCTGGAAAACTCAATTGCCCAACTGTTTGGAAATTTGAAGGAAATAGGGCTCGATCTAACTCCAAGCAAAACCACCATACTACAATTTCCGAAACAAAAGTTCAGACATGATGAAGTCAAAATCACAATTGACGGCTTTGAGATCTCTCCTAGCCCGGTTGGGAAATTCCTAGGAATATACTTTGACAGTGAGTTTAATTTTAAATACCAAGTCAGCAAAATTCAAGAAAAAACACTTAGAGCTTTAAATATTATCAAGTTTCTCCGACGAACGTGGTGGGGCTCTAACCCTTCCACCCTCATCATCCTGTATAAAAGTATCATCAGATCCATCATTGACTACGGGCTGTTTATATACATCCCTAACACGAAATTTATGAGAGATAAACTCGAACGAATACAATTTTCTGCCATCCGTCTTGCGCTCGGCTACAGATGCTCCACCCCCACCAATGTTCTAATCGGAGAATCAACATTCACCTTCATTTAAGACAGGGCTAAATTCCTTTGTAAAACGTATCTAATCAAAGCTCTCATGAATCAATCGACACTTACCTACCAAACAATTCATAAACTCTTCGAAATTGATTCTTAATACGCCACGACCCAGAGATAAAATGTTGACTAAATGTATCGGTGAGATCCTTCCCTTCAAAGAACAACTCTATACGAATAACAATTTTCATATTTTTACTATTTGACCCCTAGATCCTTCCCATCGACCTAAACGAACAATTAGGCCGAATGGCACAAGAGGAACGTGACCCCAATGATTATATTAATAGAGAACTTGAGAAAACACATCAAGGACACTTTACTGGTGGGAGCAAAAATCGAGAAGAAAATTATATTGGGGCTGCATGCGTCTGTCCTGAGATGGACGCCTGCATTTCCACTATCCTCGATGACTGTTCCTCAAGCTACACTACTGAGTGTGTCACACTCACCCTCGCGATGAAATTCATTAAAGAAAACCCTGGGCGGAATTATGTTATTCTGACAGACTCCCTCAGTGCCTGCCAAACACTCAATTCCGGTAAATTAACGGTCAAAACTAACCCCTATATTACTGAAATGAGAAATCAATTTATAGAAATTAAAAAAAAAAATTCCCAAACCGTAATTTCAATCTTGTGGATTCCTTCTCATCGCGGCATTGAGGGTAACGAGGCAGTGGATAAGCTGGCAGGGGATGCGGCGGGAGACCTATCAAACCAATTTAAAGTTCCATACACCGACTTTCGAACACAATTCAAATCAGAAGAATACAGATCCACAACAAACAGAATCATAGACGAGGCAACAAATGTTAAGAAAAAAAGGGCGTGGAATATTTTGAGCTTTACTTCAAGGGCTCTGCAAGGATCTGGTATAAAAACTGTAAGCTCCCGAGAGAAGCTATAGTCACGGTAAATCGAGTTAGAGCCAACCATTACCACCTTGCAGCTTCCTTGAATAGAGTTGGAATAACCAATGACCCAAGCTGTCCTTGTGGAGCAGAAAGTCAAAATTTTGAACACGTACTATGGCATTGCCCAAAATACGATGACCAGAGATCCACACTATTAGACAGACTGAAGAAATCAAACTATTCTCCGCCCTTTACTACAAGAAAATTCACGGATGCAACTGACCGTAAATACATTAAGGAAATATGCAAATACCTGAAAGACTGTCACCTACAAATACGAATTATCTAAGATAATAAAATGTAATATATACAACTAAATGTAAACGACAGTGTAAATAACCCAATGTAAGGGCTACATCACTATAAAATAATAATTTAAAAAAAAAGACATTCTGTGTAGAGAAGAAAATTCTGTAGAAGAAAGTGGTATTTTTTTCTATACTCAATAATCATTGAATGTGATAATAATATTCTACGACTAAACGACTGAAGGACGAGAAATTACCCTCACGCTGAATTTCTCATAAATATCTCGACATGCATATACTTGGAAAGACTTTTTTGTTGAGCAAAGGGAGACCTACAGAAAAGGTCCTCAACAAAAATCCTCTATTTTCCTCCAATTCCAACAAGTTTTTCAAAAATTTATCAAATGTAAGACTATATTCTAACTCCCAGAAGAGAGTTTTTTACAGCCTTTGTTAGGGCTTTCACTTCTCTGTAGGAAAAACATTCGCATCCCCCCAATTCCAAAATATCTGACAAAAACACCAGAAAAAATGAACCTTATAACGACAAACTGATCAATATGCAGAATATTCAAATTCATCACTTAAACACGGAGAGAATTAAATAGTAGACATTGCTATGTCAGTTTCCGACCATGGTAGATGTTACCATGGCTTAGTAAGCATTACCATGGACATGGTAAATGTTACCATGTTCCATAGTAACGGTTACTATGGAGCATAGTAAACTCTTCCATGGTAATAGCTACTATGGACAAAGGAATAATTACCATGTTACATAGTAGAGTTTACCACGTAACATAGTAGAATTTACCATGTAACATGGTAAATCCTACTATGTTACATGGTAAATTCTACTGTGTTACATGGTAAGTCCTACTATGTTACATGGTAAATCCTACTATGTAACATGGTAAATCCTACTATGCTAACATGGTAGATCCTACTATGTTACATGGTAAATCCTACTATGTTACAGAGGATGTTCCTGCATTGGAAAATATGTGGGACGTTTTCAGTCAGGCTTATGCTAGACTTAAAATATCCCAAGGTCATCAACTATTGATCTTGAATTGTTTATACATTGATGACTTTTTACTTATGTATGAAAAAGAAGAATTAGTGCAAAAAAATTCATTGTTTATTGTTAATTTTTGTTCTAAGATGAAAGAAAAACGCTTCAAATCGAAAAATGGTCTAGTGTCCTCAATTTTAAAGCTAAACAAGTTTTTTTCTCCAAAATTTTCAAACAATATGTAGAATAAGAATTAAGAATCGTTTTTTCACAAATAGAGCTGGCGAAACCATCTTCCGCAAACTCAATTTCAATTTTTCTTTCCGTTATTTTCAACTCAGAGTACTCTTTTTGACGTCTCAACTTTGCAGACTGGGGGTCAGCGAATTTCAGATTTTTGCGGACCTCCAGTCTGAAAATTTGAGGGGTCAAAAAGAGTAGTCCAAGTCGAAGATAACGAAAAAAAAAATTGGAATAAAAGTTGCGGAAGATGGTTTCGCCAGCTCTATTTGTGACTTTCGATGCTCTAAGACCCATAAAAATTATTTCATTCGACAGAGTGAAAAATTTACTTCAAAAGTTGTATCAAACATTTTTTTTTCAGACCAACCCCTCTTACACTAATTATCAAAAAATGCGAAAAACCGAAAAAATTGATATTTGCATGAAATTTTGGAAAAAAAAATTTTTTGAGTGTGGGTTTCACTTCATTTCAATGGATATTAACCATTCATGAAAGAAAAAACGGGTCGAAAATTTTGAGGTACAAAAGCGCACCGGGTATTTGTAGAACATATGACTTAAAATCTTCAACGCATGAACAATTCCAATAGGTCACGATTCCATTGCATAGTTGGGAGGAAAAAGTCAATTTCTGTTTGAATTTTTCTCTTGACATTTTTTTTCTGTTGAAATTTTTTGGCTCAGATTTTCCAAGTTTTTTCCACTCGGATTCTATAATGCAAAATGGAACGCAATAGAACTGGAGAAACTTGGAAAATTTGTGCCCAATAATTTTAATAGGAGAAATGTAAAGGAAAAAGTTCCAACAGAAATTGAAAATATTTTGACTCCTTACTTTCAAATATCCAATAGAATTGGCGTAAAATATAGATAGATTTTCCGATAGAATTGAAATAGAGATCCTATAGGAATCCCATAGGATTCCTATAGAATTTTGATAGAATTTCATAGCGAATTCGCTAGGCTTCCTATTGGATTTATTGATACGTGTAAATATGTACATATATATGCGTACGTATGTATGTATTACTTTGGAAAACAAAATTGGGAAAGAATGTATTAATCTTGATTTACTGATTTACAACAGATATTATCTTCCCTCTTCTAACACAACCCCTCAAAAGGAAGCAATATAGAAACGTATAGAAATTATGGTGAATGACTCGAGATTTCTAGAATTTAATGAAAAATGGATAGAATGTCCTAGAATTTCCGGGACTGCTCGAGAATTCAGGCACTTTCTGTAAATTTGGGAAAAATCCAAGGAGTTCCTAGGAATTTTGAGGCAATTCAGAGAATTTTTAGGAATTCGGAGGGGATATAAGAAAATCCTAGGAATTTCGAGAAAATTTAGAAATTTCCTATAAGTTTCGAGCCAATTCAGAAAGTTTCCAGAAAATTCGATAAATTTCACAGTTTTCGCTGTGTATCATCGGAACATTTGCTATGTACATAGTAGGATTTACCATGTAACATAGTAGGATCTACCATGTTAGCATAGTAGGATTCACCATGTTAACATAGTAGGATTTACCATGTAACATAGTAGAGTTTACCATGTAACATAGTAGAGTTTACCATGTAACATAGTAGAATTTACCATGTAACATAATAGGATTTACCATGTAACATAGTAGGATCTACCATGTTAACATAGTAGGATTTACCATGTTACATGGTAAATTCTCCTATGTTACATGGTAATCTTTTCCATGGACATACTAATTATTACCATGAACATGGTAATTTCTACCATGTCCGACATAGTAAAGTGATCCATGGTCCATGGCAGTGTTTCCCATGCGACATAGCAGAGATTACCATGTTTGATCAGTCAAAAACCCGTTTACTATGTCAACATGGTAATCTCTACCATGGGCATGGTAAATTTTACTATTTAATTCTCTCCGTGAAGTAATGAATTTAGATATTCTGCATATTGATCAGTTGCTTCCGTCATACTTGCCTTTCTTCTAATTTTTTGTGCGACAAATCGATTCTCTGAAGAGTACCTGCAAACGGTTCGAAACGTAGGTCGTTTTAACCCTAATTTAGTCACCAAACGCGTCACCAAACCCTCTAGCGTTGCCGAATTCACTCTACACCGCCCGGGTGCGTTTAGCAAGTTTCCGGCAACGTCGCGTCATAGGCTATTTCATTTAAAATGGGAGAAAATAATTCATCTGTTCGAAATAATTTGTCTTCTTTAGAAATTTCGGGAAATATCTTGTTCTAAAAACTAATATAATTTTTCAGAAATGTCAATTGACAAAGTCAAATTTTTTTGAATTTGTCCGGTTAGCTAGTCAATTGTAATTAAAGAAAAACGATGCGCGGCAGGCTTTCTCTCATAGGGTGACTGGGTCCATGACTAAAAATTCCATTTAGAAACTACTCCGTCAAAAAAACTGGGGTTAAAACCAATCTAGGGTTAAAACAAAATTGAACCATTTTTATTAATTTCTGATAGCATGCCGGTTATAACTTCCCTTGTCTCTCATTCAACGTTCCTTGACAAAAAGCCATGAATCTTTCTGAGTCCCACCAGCTGCATAATCATGCAACTCCCCAAAATCGAATCTCAAGTAATCATCGTTATTCTTCCTCCAGCTACCGGTAAGACAACAGCCTGTGGAGGAGTTTTGATCAGCAAGCGTTACGTGGTAACAGCAGCCCACTGCCTCAAAGGAAAGGACCTGCCCAAAACCTGGAGACTGACCAACGTACGCCTTGGCGAATACAATACGGATACCGACCCCGACTGTGTCATGGACAGCGATAACTCGGAGGTCTGCGCACCACCTCTGATAACAGTTGGAGTCGAAGAGACAATTGTTCATGAGAATTACCAGCCGCTGGACAGAAATCAATTCAACGACATTGCCCTCTTGAGACTCTCGAGAGACGTCGAATTTACGGATTATGTCAAGCCCATCTGTCTTCCTAAGACCAACGATCTGCCAGCGAGATTCTGGGTTGCTGGCTGGGGAAAAACTGAATCCAGGAGTTCTTCGGCGATCAAACTAAAATTGGCTATTCCAATTGTTGATCTAAGCGCCTGTCAGGGCCGGTACGCAAGCGCTGGGGTGAATCTTGGAAGTAGTCAGCTCTGCGCTGGTGGCGGGAGGGGGAAGGACTCCTGCAGGGGAGACTCTGGAGGTCCACTGATGAGTATGGAAACAGCTGCTGATGGCACTGGAAAGTGGACAGCCGCAGGGGTTGTCTCTTTTGGACCATCTCCTTGTGGAATGGAAGGGTGGCCTGGGGTTTATACAAGGGTTGCTTCATTCACGGATTGGATTGTCAGGAACATGAGGCTGTGAGGGATGAAGAAAGGGAAGAGGGACTATGAGAATTCTTAAGACAAAAATCTAAGGGTTGGTGGGGTTTGAAAGGAATTCAGAGAATAAGAAATTCAGAGCATAAGAATGATAAATTTTCGGTGAATATGGTCATTTGTGGTAAAAAATACCTGTTAATGGTTTTTTATAACTCTCGATATTTCGGAGTTTTGACAGAATGGAGTTACCACGTATGAAAAAATTCAATAGGCTTCTCCTATAGGACTTCCTATAGGATTTCCTATAGGTTTGCCTATAGAACAATTCTATGGAGAATTGAAACACTTTCTATAGGATTTCGTTCCCAAGTCTGTGGGAATTAAGATTTCCTATAGATGAAAGATCTATAGAGGATTCTTTGTAGGATGACTTATAGGATTTTTTATTCAGGGAGAACATTGTTTAAATAACCATGGAATATCTATAGGAAAGATGACTATGGGAACTGGGCCATAGCAATTCGTTTATAGGGAATCTGTTCATGGTAATTTGATTGTTTATAGAAATTGTTCCATGAATAACCATGGGATTTCTATCGGGGAGATGTCTATGGGAATTGAGCCATATGAAGTCTTATAGGGATTCGAATTTTTTATAGAAACTTTTCTATGAATAACCGTGGGTTTCCTATAGGAAAGATGACTATGGGAAGTGGGCTATATGAATTCGTGTATAGGGATTTGCAATTTTCATAGAAACTATGTTCTATAAATGACCATGGGATTTCTATTGGGGAGATGTCTATGGGAAGTGGGCCATAGGAATTCGTTTATGGGGAATTTGATTGTTTATAGAAATTGTTCTATAAATGGCCATGGGATTTCTATCGGGGAGATGTCTATGGGAATCGGGCCATAGAAATTCGTTTATGGGGAATTTGATTGTTTATAGAGATTGTTCTATGAATAACCACAGGATTGCTATTGGGGAGATGTCTATGGGAATTGGGCCATAGGAATTCGTTTATGGGGATTCGAGTTTTTTATAGAAACTTTTCTATGAATAACCGTGGGATTCCTATAGGAAGGATGACTATGAGAAGTGGGCTATATGAATTCGTGTATAGGGATTTGCAATTTTCATAGAAACTATATTCTATAAATGGCCATGGAATTTCTATTGGGGAGATGTCTATGGGAAGTGGGCTATAGGAATTCGTTTATGGGGAATTTGATTGTTTATAGAAATTGTTCCCCGATAGAAATCCCATGGTCATTTATAGAACGATTTCTATAACCAATCAAATTCCCCATAAACGAATTCCTATGGCCCACTTCCCATAGACATCTCCCCAATAGAAATCCCATGGTCATTTATAGAACGATTTCTATAACCAATCAAATTCCCCATAAACGAATTCCTATGGCCCACTTCCCATAGACATCTCCCCAATAGAAATCCCATGGTCATTTATAGAACGATTTCTATAACCAATCAAATTCCCCATAAACGAATTCCTATGGCCCACTTCCCATAGACATCTCCCCAATAGAAATCCCATGGTCATTTATAGAATATAATTTCTATGAAAATTGCAAATCCCTATACACCAATTCATATAGCCCACTTCCCATAGTCATCTTTCCTATAGGAAACCCACGGTTATTCATAGAAAAGTTTCTATAAAAAATTCGAATCCCTATAAGACTTCATATGGCTCAATTCCCATAGACATCTCCCCGATAGAAATCCCATGGTTATTCATGGAACAATTTCTATAAACAATCAAATTCCCATGAACAGATTCCCTATAAACGAATTGCTATGGCCTAGTTCCCATAGTCATCTTTCCTATAGATATTCCATGGTTATTTAAACAATGTTCTCCCTGAATAAAAAATCCTATAAGTCATCCTACAAAGAATCCTCTATAGATCTTTCATCTATAGGAAATCTTAATTCCCGCAGACTTGGGAACGAAATCCTATAGAAAGTGTTTCAATTCTCCATAGAATTGTTCTATAGGCAAACCTATAGGAAATCCTATAGGAAGTCCTATAGGATAAGCCTATTGAATTTTTTCATACGTGACATTTCACATATTGTAGATTATTCTGCAAATAGAAGTCATTTTATAGAGAATTATTTTCTGTACAACAAAAGTTTACTCATATTTCTATGTAGAACAACAAAATTCACAAATCATATGTTCACAATTCATATCCATCTTTTAAAAATTGAATATTTTGAATTGTGTATATGAATATACACGTGAGAAAAATTTTATAGGAAAATCTAGCGCATTCACTAGAAAAGTATTGCAGTTATTGTACGCGTTTTTTTGTAGAAATTTTTAATAGAAAATATTTTACTGAAAAGTTTTATAAATTTTGATCTTTCTGTATCACTTATACATTATACACTATGTATAATACATATAATATATAATAGGTAGGTATATCATTCGTCAGAATGGAGGTCACAACAGTGTAGGAATTTTTGGATGATTGGTGATCATTTCTCCGAGCAATGGTTATTCCCCGTAGAGTATGTAATGTGGGATTTTTTTAAGAGTGTGTACCTTGAACACAAGCTCAGTTATTTACCCAGAAATTCAAAGTAAGTCATGAGAAAAAAATTCCCCGTATGTTTTTAATTTTTTTTTGCATTCTTTTTATTCTTTCAGAGAACCTTTCATTTTAAGATGAAACATGTATTCGAAGGTTCAATCCAAGGTCACCATTAGTCGGTATCTCAAACTAAAACACAAATTTTTAGCATAATAAAAAAAAGAATTTTAAAAAATTATATAATATATGTTTTGTACAGCAATACTTACGCACAAATTTTTCAATGTTTTTTTCACGGCATTATTTCCTTCTCTTTTACTTATAGAAATAATCTCAACAGAATAACTTGTCTGGGAAGATAGAAATGTATTGATTAATCCTAGACAATATTTTCTATTGGATATTTTTTTCTAACATGCAATAAACCTATGGTATCTTGCAATAGGCTCGGAGAAAAACTAATAGAATTTTAAATGGAGGCGCTATAGAATTTCCTGTAGTTGCGTTAGTTGTTTCTATTCATTTTTTCCGTATGAGTATCTACCTACGAAGTAAAAAAAGCTTATGTGGACTGAGGTGATGATTGTTTTTACTTTAAGAATTTCGTTACAAATCAATTTCATGATTGTGATTAAGAGTTCATGCTAATCCAATGATAATGAAAACGTTTCCGGATCAATGATCGATCACACCTACGAAAAAATTCAATAAAAAAACCTAGCGAATTCGGTAGACAATTGTATTGGATTTCTACTAAACTTGTTATTATTTTTCGGCCAATTCTATTGAAATGTTAAATAGATACTATTCTGTAGAATAAGTCAATAGAATGCTATTCTTCTGTATAACTTATTCTATTGAGATATTTTCTATAGAATTTCCGGCGGCTCCAATTTCAAAATTTTTTTTCATTCTATTTTTCATTTCTTTTCATCAAGAAAAGAAAATAAAAAAAACTTGGAAAATTTAAGCGGAGGAAGTTCTATAGAAAATATCTCAATAAAATAAGTTGTATAGAAAAATCGAATTCTATTGAATATATTCTATTGAATATTTCACTAGAATCGACCACAAACTAACAGAAACTTTACTAGAAATCCCATAGAATTATTTAGCGAATTCGCCAGGTTTTTCTATTACATTTTTTCGCGGGTGCAGCCATTCTGGTTGATTCCTCAGGATGATTTTCTACACCTGAATTCATGAAATGATGAGGTAATTTTAATGTATTTTTATATTCAAGAATGAGCAACCAAAATGATGTAAAAATTTCAAATAAACTAGGAGACCCGTTTATGAGATAATCTAGTCATTCTTCCGGAATCCATTTAATGAATAAATGTTTTTTTTTATAGAAAAGAAAAAATTTCGTCACGTTGAATGGATGGAGTACAAATTTGGAAAATATCCGGAAGTTTATACGAAATTGAGACACTGACAACTTGTCATTAATCAATTGAAATATTTAATTACGATAAAAAGGATTGAGATGCAAGAATTCTGAATATTTTTTGCTTTGAATTTTTCACCTTGAACTTGATGCCTATACATTCTCAACCTTAGTTGGTTACCATATAAGACCCTGGTCACCTCCCCAGGGACTCGTCGCCATGTATTTAGCCTCAAACGTTGCCGAATTCACTCTACACTACCCGAGCGCATTTATCGAGTTTTCGGCAACATCGTACAATGGGATTTTCATTTAACATGGGAAAAATTTGTTCATCTGTTGGAAATAATGTGTTTTCTGTGGAGATTCCGGATATCATATCATTTTTGAATATATCATAATTTTCTAGATACCTCAATTGACCAATTCAATTTTTTTCGGATTTTTCCCTTCTTTTTTTTGCAGCTCATGTTCTGCAAAAGAAGATCCTTATAGAGTTTGATCTTTTTTTTGGATTCCGAGATATTCTGCTAAACCTATTCTCGAAATAAAACCTACTTGAATTAAGGCAATCTTTATGCCATCGGTTGCGGACTGACCGCACTGTATTTGCAGATTTCCAATCATCAAACTTTTCAATTAAATTATGTAAAGATACATTTCGAAAAATTCATGCATAAGCAGTATTATTGACAAGCTTCTAAAAATCACCTTCTGCTTGTGACTTTTGTCGTGGACAGAGTATGTCAAAATGGCCTTGAAAATGTATTGTTTATTAGCTATCTATCAGATGATGGTTATTGGCCTCTACGGTACTTGGCTGACTGACAGATGTGGAACACCGAAAATGTTCTAATAATGATAAGAAACGAAAATAATTTGAATTTAAAATAATTCAGACTATTTTTTTTGTTACATCAGAGGCAATTATTATCTGATTACATATTCGATCGGAAAATGTTCACAAGTAGTTATCTCTGAAAAAAGATCCACAATAACAACTTTTCAACTATTGCATAAATCTTCAAAGAGTACACTTTTCAACCTTTTTGAGCGATTTCCAGAAGGTTATCGTTTTTAAAGAGGAAATCCTTAAAGAGATAAGGCAACTGAATTTATCGTTTAATTTTTTAAGAATATCTCTGAAGTGAACGCACGTACAAAAATGTTCATGGCCACGGCCATGGCCTTTGCCATGGCGCTGCTGAGGGACGTTGCCATGGCATTGCCATGAAAAAAAAGAAAAAATAACTTATAATCAAATAATTAGGTAAGGGAGTTTGACCCTCTTGACCCTCGCAACTTTGTTGTGCCTTGTGACCCTTATGGCCCTTATGACCTTAAAGGTCCCAGGGGGCCGCAGGGGCATGAACATTTTTGTATTAGGTACAAAACCAGCTAAAATTTTATCGTAACCTTTTCTGTAGCCCTTATTATGTATTGCCCTATGAATTAGAAACTCATTAATTTTTGAGTTCTTTACTGAACGGAAAGTAATAAGTGATTTTTCTTTTTCTTAATAAATTTATGCCTCACTATACTAATGATAATTCTGTCACTGTGATTGTATTGAATGCGGGTGATGAAAATGATTATTCATCGGTAATTAGTTTATAAATCCACGAAAAAGTAATTTTCTGGTTGATGGAAATTTTATATTTTCCCTCTGAATTGACGACTTTCAGAATGATTTTTCCTATCCTTGTCTTAATTAATTCGAGGTTGAGTCATGGGTGAGTTATTATTTATGTGAATTTATATGGAAACTGTATTATGTTCATTATAGTATCAAAAGGTCAGAGTCGAGGTCACAGCGAAGTGGGAATTCTCGGATTATTGGTAATCATTCCTCCGAGCAATGGGTATTTCCCGTATAATATGTGATGTGGGATTTTTTAAACAATTAATCTGTATGTTGAAAGCAAGCTCAGTCATCTACCCAGAAATCCAACGTAACTCATCAGAAAAAATTCCCGGTAGGTTTTTAATTTTTTCAGGATGAAACATGTATCAGAATGTTCAATTCAAGGTCACCATTATTTGGTATTTAAAAGTAAAATACACAGATGTGAAGAATAATTTTAAAAATGGTTTCAATATTTTTTTTTCATGAAAAAATCGAGTGAAAAAATCGAGTGAGTGAGTGAATGTGTCATAATGCGGATATTTAGAGTAGCCTAGAATTTTTAAATTTCAACTAATCATTAAAATGAAAACAACATGTATATGTTCTGAATATTTTTCATTCACTTTTCATATTTAATCATTAAACATATGGACTTGGGGCCATGAAATACCATCCATAAATTTCTAAACATCAGCCTCAAGGCCACCCTCTCCCCAAGACCCAGACGTTCTCCGATGCTCCTATGAGAATTCCAATTACCAAGAATTCCTTTTTCTGATTTTCTAGAAAATTAATTAGCATTTCTTCTAAAAAAAAATTCACCGTGAAGTGGGGTAAATTCGAAGGCCATGTAGGCCGCAGGAACGCATCGTCACATTGCCCACTGACTCAGTGTGTTTCCAGACTATAGAACTGTTTTTATGTATTTTTCATTCAACTCAGTGATCACCGGATGGCCAGGGAATGATAAAGACAGACGTATAAATGAAATGAAGAAAAATGATAGTTCACTGCAGGGGTTATTACATTGCTGATAGTACCGAGATCTTAGGAATGGTTTTCAATAGTTTTGACAGTGTAGTGCAGATAAATAATTCATGTGAATGAAATTAAATCCTATATTTCCCCTGGAATGTAAAAAATTTCCGATGAAAAATGATTTTTTCTGTGATGGTAGTCCTTGTGATGACTAATGCCGGACAAATAAATGCACGTGAGTTTCAGAATTCAATTGATATAAATTATTATGTAGTTTTAGAAAAGTGAAATTCATTTTCATTTGAGAATTCTCATTAATTGACTCGTACATTTCGAATTCGAACATTAGAGCTTGAAGGAGACGCAGTAATGTTCCGCGAGGGGGGAGATAATTGTAGGACTCCCGTGGGAAAAGCAGGGACTTGTATAAAAATTAGTAGATGTCGAGAGTTGGTGGATGTTCTCAGACAAACTGGACATCCCACGAATGAGGATTTGGACAGGTTGAGGAGAGCTAATTGTGGATATGATCGGCTGGAGGCGAAAGTCTGCTGTTCCAGTGAAGTAATTTCAATTTTTCATCATTAATATTTACTCACACCGTGATGAAGCATTGACGAGAATATTTCAGTATATAATTGAAAGATATTCCTAAAACGAGCAGATTCCGTGGAGAATGTTGAGAGCTCTTTCACAGCTGAGAGAATTTGGTAGAGAATATATCCGTCAATATAAATTCATAAATGCATTTTTTTTTTCATAAAATTAATAGCTCGTGGAACGATTGCATTGTTTGGGGATATCTCTCTAATTACGGTACGAGGATTCTATTTACAGAGGAAATCACTTGTAAAGACCTGGTTTTGCGACATATAGGCACAGCTGCGGTAAGCCCAGTTAAGAAAATCCTTATTCCGCTATCGGGATAAATAAAAACAATATGCCGATCAATTTGGATCGAAGGTTCATCAAAGGTATTTCCCCAAAAAACGTGGTGTATCTATGTATCATTACGATTTGCCAATAATACTACTAATTATCAAGAATTTTGTCGATATCGCCGACCGAATGGCTGAATTAAAGTAGTCTACGAGAAATTTCTAAAATTGTCAAACTGTGGAATAAATTTACTCCAGACAGAAATTTATTCTGACGGTTTATTTGGCTAACAGGGCTTAGTGCAACCGGCCCATAATAGAATAGAATACTTCATTTCCTTGATGCTACTGTTACAGTTTTGCATCTACACAGGCTAATAAGTAAATATCTCCAATAACACTCCAATAAATTGTTTTTATGTCAATAATGTCAATAATGTATAACAACTTGTGGTAATATCACAGCATCACAATTTGAGCAATTGTGCAATTTCTAGTTTCTTACAATTCCTTTTCACCGTAGTCTTTCAACACTTTCTCTATCTTAGCTAGCCCCACATAACGGTACATTTACTTCGCCTGCTAGGGCATTTAGGAACTCCTTCCTCCAGCTTCTTTGGTTTGTCTTTCCTCTCAAGTCTGTCCACCAGTTTCTATCTGATACTTTTAGTCTTTTCATCACCAACTCGCAGCTTATTGCATGCTTCAATGATTCTACTGAGTCATTGCATGCCTGGCATTTGGTATCCATATAGCCGCCTTTACCTTCTCTCAATGCATTGCCACATCTCCATCTAGCCCAAGTCTCTTTCTGCCAAATCCTCTGCCTTTAGTCCTCTATCTGCCTTTAGTCCTCTCCTGTGCCAGTACTTCTCTATTTTTGTTCCAGTTTTGGTGGACGAGAAATAGCTGCAGTAGTTTGAACTATCCGCCTTATTCTCCCAGTCAGTCTGTATCTCTTGATCCATTACCGCTTTCTCCAACTCTCTGAGCTTTTGCTCCACTTCCCCCAGCTCTCTTCCCTCACGCATTTCTAATAGTTCGCCATCTCCAACTCGTTCTAGTGCTCCTTTCAAACTTTTTTCCCATCGAGTCGGGCTGCCGTCTCTTATGGTCCTTATTTCTTCCTTTAAGCATTTTCTCGCCCATCTATTGTCTCCCATGAGGCATAACTTCATCAGGAACGACCCAGCCCTTCTCCTCGCTTCGATCTCGATACTTCTGTTATTTGCTTCTAATCGCCAAATATATCCTGGTGTGTTTTTTGACAGGCCCATACAGGATTTCATATACCTACTCTGTACTCTTTCAATTACTTCTCTTCTTTCCCAGCCCCATATCTCAGTAGGTATGCTAAGCGGGTTCTGTATAGTAGTTCGCCAAATCGCCACCAGATGCGCCATAAGGCGTGGAAGGTTCTGGAATGGTGGCGCCACCGTCGCGGAATTTTCTAGACGGATGACGTCATCGATGAGTCACCTCATCAGCTCAGGGACGTGGTGAGGGTAGTTTGTGAGTCCTGTTGGGACTTGTATGGAATATGATACTAGTGGCGGCGCCACCGTCATGGAATTTTCTAGATAGATGACGTCATCGATGAGTCATCGACTCGCGTGGTGGGGGAATCCCTCTAAGATCTGTTGGGACTTGTGTGAAATATGATGACCTGTTGAAACTTGCATGAAATCGGATATTGGCGCCACCGTCGCGGAACGTTCGAGAAGGATGACGTCATCGATGACTCATCGACTCGCATGGTGGGGGAACCGTCCTGGTGGGACTTGTATGAAATATAATACTATGAAAACCTGTGGATACACGGATAAAATGGGATATTGCCGCCACAATCGCGGAAATTTCGAGATGAATGACGTCTTCGATGAGTCACTCGGGCTGATGACCTATTTACTTGCACGGTGGGGGAACTCCCCGTAAGTCCTAAACATGTGCAAATGTTTAACAACATTTGCAAACATTTTGTAAACATTTTCGAAAATTCTGCAAACATTTTGCAAACATACTAGTGCATAATACTCAGTATGAGTCGAAGCTCTTGATACTACCTTCTGTTTGAGTGATTTCCATAATATAGCATTTCCAAAAACTCTAATAAGAATTCCAGTAGTCGGCTTTCTATCAATAGTATCTGATGCTCAATCACTGTCTACGTATGCATCAATTGTTGTCTTTGAGTTTGAGGTATAAACTAATTTAAGTGATTTTGTCTAGTATAAATATTTTAGAACTCTTAGTGTATATTGATAGTGCTCATGATTGTAACTACTTTGGAATCGACTCAAATAATTTACCGAAAAAGAAATGTCAGAACGTGTGCCACTAGCAATGAATAACAAAGCTCCAATCAAATTTCTGTACTCCAACTCATAATCAGTCATTTCTGCTGGCTCTAATTCTAATTCATTTCCATGAGTGTTTCATACTTCTTAGAATTCTGAATCTGGTACTTCTCTGCGAGACTATCAAGGTATTTTTCTTGGTGTAAAACTAATTCTTTCCCATTTTGATGATACTCAACCTCAATGCCCACATAATGTTGTACTTGTCAGAAGTCTTTCATACGAAACCTCATATTCAATAATAATTTAAGTTTAAGCATCCCTCTTCCGCTCGATCCACAAATCAACAAATCGTCAACATACAGTATCACATATAATTTCTCATTGTTAATCACGCCTGTATAAAAACAAAAATCGTATTTTGACCTCTCTAAGTTTAATTTTGTCATATAATCATTGAAACATTCATACCAGTCTCGTGGACTCTCTCTCTCTCAGCCCACCTAAAGCCTTTTGCAATAAACAAACTTTTTCACCATTAACTTGATAGCCCTCAGGTGGGTAAATATAAACTTGAGATTTGATATTTCCATTGAGAAAAGCAGTTTGAACGTGCATTTGTTGAATGTTCCATTCATTATTACAAGCAACTGAGCGTGGAATTTTTAATGTATGCATTTTCGCTACAGGCGAATAAATCTCTTCATTCTCCTGAAAAACTTTTTGGAACCCTTTAGCTACTACCCGTGCTTTATACTTTCCATTAGACTTGATTGTATATATCCATTTAACTTCAATGATCTTTTTATCGTCAGGAGTATCAACTACTGACCAAGTTTCATTTATTCTAAGACTCTCTAGTTCTTCTTCCATTGCATTAATCCATTTCTTTGACTCAGGACTGTTAATTGCCTCTTCATAAGTTTCTGGTACACTAACATTGGTATAATTTATGTAAACTACATGATCATCGTATCTCTTTGGCCTTTTAATCTCTCGCCTGGTTCTCATGGGAGTTTTAGCTATTTCTGGTTCATCATTATGTTCTATCACCTCCTTAATCTCATCATTTTCATCTTTATCCATTTTAACATTACCGTCTTTAACAATTCCTTCCTGATTATTTTCATCGAACTCATCCAAGTTAAATTTGATATATTTCGTGTCTTGCTCAATGAATTGTACATTTCTACTTATTATTATCTTTCTGTCCACCAATATTTTGTAACCCATATCTGTATAACCAATCAAGATACCTTTCATTGCTTTTGGATTCAGTTTTGACTTCCTGCACTCATCGGGTACTTTTATATATGCTTTGCTTCCATATATACGTAGATTAGTGACATCTGGTTTCTTATTAAAAAATATTTCATAAGGAGATTTATCAATCTTTGTATTTGCAATCAGTCTCTTACCCAGATATGCTGCTGTGTAAATGCACTCAACCCAGTAACTCTTATCAATATTCCCTTCTGCTAACAAATATCGTGCTCTGTCCATAATTGTTTTATTATATCTCTCGGGCTCGCCATTTAATTCATGCGTATAGGGAGGACATGGTCTCACATAAATGCCTTCTCTTTTAGGTAAATCCATCAAATTGTTGTTAATAAACTCACGACCATTATCACAACGAAGTTTTTTGATTCTTTTGCCAGTTAAAGTATGTACTGTATTCATGTAATCAACGAATTGACTATAAACATCACTTTTGTTTTCTATACAATAAACAACTGCAAGCTTACTAAAATCATCGATGAAGGATACAAAATATTTCTCTCCATTGATACCTGTTTGAGCTATTGGCCCATTTACATCTGTATGAACAATTTCAATAAATCATTGGCTCTAGTTCTCTCATTCTTGAACTTCATGTTAGACATTTTACTCGATAGACAAATTTCACACTTTAGAACTTCATTCTCAATTGTCTTTGGGACTCCATCTAGTAATTGTAATTCACATATATGTTTTAAATCTCTAAAATTTGGGTGACCCAGTTTGCTGTGCCACTTCTCTTTGGCAGTCATCCTGCCCTCAATGGAATTACTGTACAACTTCACTCTTTCTGTCTCGTCATCTACCTTTAGTCCTTTTATTTCGAAAAGTTTTGCAATCACTTGATTTTTACTATTAAAAATATTAGCTTTTTCATTCTCAAATATTACTCGATTCTTCTGTTTCAAAATACTAGAGACACTCAATAAATTTCGTTTCATATTGGGCACATAAAAAATATTCTTTATCTCAGTTTCAACGAGTTTGTTACCCACTCTAAATTTCACATTAATATTGCCGATCTTCTCTGATTTTAATGAGTAACCATCTCCTATTCTTATGTCAATTGGATTCTTTAACGTCTTACTCAAAAAAAAAATTGTATAAC